AATCTCAGCGAGAACTGCCTGACAGGAAGCTCTCCTAGTACAAAGAGACTCCACATCCCCGCCCGCCTCCTCGAGACAATCAATCTCAGACAATTCAGCAAGGACTCTATTCTTCCTCCATTCAATATTCCCAAAAACGTCCTTATTCCATTGCTTCAAATCAAATTTGAGAGCTCTTAACTTCGCTGTTAATATGAAGCTGGGCGCACCTGCAACCATCGCTCCCTCCCACCAAGATCGAGCTTTCCCTTGAAAATCCTCCAATCTCAACCACATATTCTCAAATCGGAACTGGTTTCTATGAGAACACAAACCCCCACAATCTAAAACCAAAGGAACATGATCAGAGGTAACCATTGCTAAGACCGCCTGAACAATATCCGGGAATTTTTCTTCCCACTCCCAAGAGATTAGAAATCTGTCCAGTCTTGAGAGGGCAATTGGATCCCTGCCACTAGACCAAGTACAGGCTGCACCTTCCATTGGAAGATCAATGAGAAAATGCTCATCTATGAAGTCAGAAAACTAATCCATATCTAAGGACCTCCTTCTCCCAGTAAACCTCTCGGACGGGGACCTAACAGAATTAAAGTCCCCTCCCAAACACCAAGGAAGAGACCACATTCCTTGAACATAGCTTAGCTCCTCCAATAAAATAGGTCTCTCATTATCAACAACCGGTCCATAGACCCCAGAAAAGACCCATCTGAAATCATCCTCCATTTTAAACTCACAGCAAACAGAAAATCTCCCCATCCACACATCCATTTTAGACAACCATCTGCTATCCCACATAACTAAAATTCCACCCGAAAAACCTATAGAATCCAAGGCATCCCATTCCACAAACCTTCCTCCCCACAAGCTTCTTTCCACCCCGTCAGAAATGGATGCCAACTTGGTTTCTTGTAATCAAACCACCTGGGCCCCCCATTTCATTAAAGCTACCTTCACCACCCTCCTCTTATTCGAGTCATTGAGACCACAAACATCTCAAGTAATAATTCGTAACTTCATTAAAAACCAGATAAGATTAACTCCCCTCCCCCCTTCTTTAAACTCCTACTTCTGGTCCTTCCCCTTTCCTTCACCACCCCTCTTTTCCCTTCATAGTTAACATCAGAAATTAGATTCTTGACCTTATGTGCCCCCTTCTAAGATAGAGTCCTGGTGTTCATTACTTCAGTGGTCACAACAATCTATCTTCCTTCCACTATATCCTAAAGGATAGATAAAGTCTGATCGTTATTACCCTCTGATGAGACACCCAGCAACTCGCTGGTGACTCCTATATTATCAATCACCCAGTCCTTTCCCATATCTGTAGAAGAATCAGGTCGCAGAACAGCTAAAGGTTCCACATTAGAACATTCATTCTCCAGCCAAAGGGCTAGCTCATTAGAGAAAACCTGTTAGATAGAATCGATATCATCATCATCTTCAATATCTCCCCCATTGTCGAACACCGAACCTGTGAAAAAGTCATCTTCTCCATTAGCCAAATATATAACAAGTGCATTCTTCTCGGTCCCTGTAGTTGGCAAACAGTTAAGACTTTCCAAGGCTACACGCATGAAACTAACGGACTCATTCTCCGTAGCCCCTGAGCAGGCAAGCAATTAAAGCCTTTCAAAGCTACATGTAGACGGAGCTCTTTAAGCAGAGCCGAAGCCTCAGCATTGGATAACTGAAAATGGAGATCCCTCCCCACACAAACTGTAACCCCCTCAGGTGAATCCTTAACTGCGTATTCCCCTGGGTCAGCATACACTGAAACAGACCTGAAGGCATCCCTCCCTTCCTTATTCAAACCATACGCAGCTTCAGGTATAACTGAAAGCTCACTGCACTTCTCCGATGCCAGTTCAATTTCACTCCTCATCACAGAAGGAATAGAAGAAGAAGAAGGAGTGTATGGAGGGCTTTTAAGATGGTGGGCCAAAGACATACCTGGATCAGAAGAGGTACGAACCCACTTTTGCTTATCATTACAGGACCACCTACTTCGGCGACCCTGATAATAGCCCTTGGTTTATCTGAAGCTTTTATCACGTGGTAGAATAGAGCCAGATGGAAGAGAAGCTGCAGGAAAACTACACGTGTTATGTTGAAAAGCCCTTTCCTCCGCATACAGCCCTGCAACGCTCAACTGCCTCCATCTACTCTTCTCTGTCGAAGACCATTCTCAACGACGCTGTGGAATAACGTCTGAAGAAGCAGTGTGATTGGGCTTAGGCAAAGGCTATGGGCTGGGCTTGTCGTTTAAAAAAGAAATAGTAGAGTTGTTATTGGCCCCCGAGAAACAACCCTCTTAAACTCCTTATTAGCCTTTGGCCCATGGAATGTAAATAGCCCATTGTCCAGCCCATCATCCAAAGACAGCCTAGATTTAGGCCCATTATTAACTTTGGCATGAAAGGCGCCTGTATTGCCACGTGCTCTATTACGTGGTTGGTGGCCAGTTGGGCGATCAAAATGAGGATTTGATTGGCATTGTTTAAGGGCGTTATGCGCACTACTTGGGATTCTGCTTTCCTTAGACGCGGCCGACGCGTGAAGAAGCACTCGTCTCTATCCTTGAGAATTAAGACGGATCTGCATCTGTCGGCGACGACTTCCTTTGTTCGTTTCGTCGAGCATAAGATGGGAACCCTCATCAACTCCATAATAGGACTTCGGGAGGATGTGAGGTGAGATTTCCTCCATCAGATTGACCTTAAATGCCACACGCTGGTCTTCAACATAAACAAACTCCGGTACCCTACCTCCAACAGAGACGTAAAGGAAACTCTCTCACCTCCCACTAAATCATCCATCTCCACACCTCTAAACCCTCCACACAGATCACCAATAGCTTCGAACAGTTTCTAACACCAGAGATGACGAGGCAAGCCGTGAATCGCCACCCTTCTGATTTCACAATTTTTCACTGCTGAGCATCCCACTGCAAAGTACCAAATGCTGATGGCTAAAGTGGCGTCTCCCCAACTCTTATTCCCTAAATCCAGAACACGTAAAGCCTCAGCTTTCGAAGGTAGCCTGAACAGCAAGAGGCCGTCTGGTAGGGATGATACCTTCACCCCGCTCGAGACCTTCCAAACCTTCGTCGCCCACGTCGCGATCCCCTCGATACAGCCCACTTCGCGATCAAAACGGCCAACCAAGCAAGATTTTAGGACAACTTCTCTTTCTGTAATGCTTTTATGATCAACCCTAAAAACCGTGTCTTTGCCGATTATGCATCTTTTAATCTCACCATGGAAATTAAGGCGAGGAAGTGTCGCAACATTAAAATACGATCGTATCATAGCACAAAAAAACCCAAGGATCCAACACCAGAGGATTTAGACTTGATACCAAAACTAACTTCTTAGGATTAAATTTTGATATAGGTTAGTCCTTATGTTTGTGTGTGCGTGCGCATGAGAGACTCAGAGTTTTCTATCATTCTTTTTGTAACATTATTTAAGACAAGATGTGATAAAATCAAATTGTAAGAGACTATTATAGTTTTGAGAATCGCGATTGTAAGAAACTATTAATCAACTATTATAGGTTGATAAAATCAAATTGTAAGAGACTATTTAAGTCACTGTATGGGAATTGGGGTGTAAAAGGCTAGGAAGTGCATTTAAACTAGGCCACCTGATCACAACAGATAACAAAAATATGACTTCAATGTTACCCACTCTCTCTTTTTAATTTTTTTGCTCTTTTTTTTTTTTTGGGTACAATGTTTATTTTTGCCTGTACCAGTTGTATTGTATTTTAAATATATAGATATTCAAATATGCAATCTGAAAACTTAATCAGGCCATCAGAATGACACTAATTTGAGCAAAAATACGGGGTCCCTATTCTTATTTTGCACCTGGACTAGGGGAACCGGGAATCACAAATCAAAGAACTCTATGTTAAGAAATATGGAAGCTAGAATAAGCAGATTGTCACGACCTGTCCAAAACCCATGTAGCACACTCTTCTCTCGGCGCTCACAATTTTTCTCAAAACTCGCCTACATGATTAAGAGGTATCCACACATATAAGTCTTAATAGCTTCTCCCCCCACGCAATGTGGAATGTCACAATCACCCTTTCTTGGGACCCGTCTTGACTCGCACGGACTTGTGCACTCCTCCACATTCCGGTCACGCCCCGCCCCGTATAGATACTGTCTGCCTTGCACTCTCTCCTCTTAGTGCTCACGATTTTGCCCAAAATGCATCTACATGGTTAGGGGGTGTCACACACACATAAGTCACAACTTCTTCTCCCCACCCCCGTGGCGATGTGAGACGTCACGAAAGGAGAGAGTGCAAAACAAACAATATTTACACGGAACGAGGCGGGTCATGATAGATGGTATCAGAGCCAATCCCCAGCTGGAAATGTGGGGGCATGCACAAGCCCATACGGGTCAGGACAGCAAGGACGCTGGTTCCAAAGAGGGGGTGATTGTGGTGTCCTGCATCGCCTTGGAGAAAAAGTTGTTGAGACTTATATATATTGACACCCCTTAACCATGTAGACATGTTTTGAGCAAAACCGTGAGTGTCGAGAGGAGAGTGTGTAAAGTGGACAATATTTACATAGGTTTTAGTGCGGGTCTTGACAAATGGAATCAGGGCAAATCCCCAGCCAGAATTGTGGGGGCGTGCACAAGTCCATGCGAGGACGCCGAGTCCCAAGAAGGGGTGATTGTTATGTCCCACATCGCCGAGGGGGAGAAGTTGGTCAAGACTTGTATGTGTGGACATTCCGTAGACACGTTTTGAGCAAAACCGTGAGCACCGGGAGGAGTGTGCAAACAGGTAATATCTACATAAGTTTTAAGCGGGTCGTGACATAGATAATATGCATGGAAAGGTTAGAGTAGGCTTAGACAAAATATTGAAAACATATATAAGAAATTCTCTAAGGAAGCTTTCCAAAGGTATGCTATATGTAAAAATGTGTACAAGGACGAACAAATAAATTGCAGTAGTGGAGCTGAGACAAACCTATATGCCACAGGGTCAAACGGGTGAAAAATGTTGAACATTTGCCGACAAGCTGGCATCTCTTCACTTATATTTTCCTCTTCCCAATATTCTTGTCCTTTGCCTAGAAAAGAGAACATAGAAACAGGATAAATAAGTAAAGTATAACTAATTACAACCATATACCAAGCTCGAAATAAGGAACAGAAATTTAAGGGGGGCAAATATAAATAAGTAAGCCAGTGTTGTTTTTAACCTCAGTCGCCCATAAACGAGATAATTGTGATCCGAAACATCCAAAATCAGGAACATATGAATAATATCATTAATAACATTTCAGATAAGCTGATGTTCATGTAAGAAAGAGTAATGTACAAGGAAGATACAGAGGCATGATTGCAGATTTGAAGAGAGAGAGACAGATTCTACATGCCAAGGTTCAAATACGGAAAATCATGTCAATGTCAACACCGAGCTTTGATCTTGTGTAAAATCAAAGACACAATAGATAAATTTTGAACTATGATCTTAAAATAAGTTTTGGTATCTCAAGAACGGGAAACTTTCATGAAAATTAAACCTATAATGATAAAGCAATGTAATAGGTATGATCAACTAAAAACCTCTTTAATAATAAACTGACTATGCAAGCACTTGTATACATTGAAAATTTTCTTTAAAGAACAATTTCAAGAAGCTCGCCCCAAAGTAAGAAGAATCTATGGACACCAAATTTTACAGTATATATAAGACATACAAGCATTATGCATTACCGATCCCAATACGAATATTGCGGAGGGAAAGAAATACACCAAGGGGGGACCCAACAGCAAAGAATGTGTCGACCTGAAATATAGAAATTGAGGTAAATGCAAGGACACAAACCACTTTAACATGTTTAACTCTCATGCAAATTTACATATGTAAATATTTAAATACCCCTCTCCTCTCCCTCCCTCCCTCCCTCCCTCCCTCTCTCTCTCTCTCTCTCTGGGATTCAAAATGAACATATCTACTAAGGAAGAATATAATGCACTTTGAAGCAAGTTGCTAATGACAACAAAAAGCTAACAGTTTAAAGAACTATTACCTAGCGTTGGCCCATAAACCCAAGGTGCAAAAAGGGATGAACTGGGTATAGACCAAACCACCGATCATGACAGCCCAAATTATAACCAATGTACCAACCGACAAGCCCTAAGCTAACATTAGCAATGGAGGTAATTATTACCTTAAATTCCAATTTTGTATACTTTATATAAGGGGTGTAACTCTTTGTTGTATCATTTTGCCTAGGTGGAAGTTCTTCAGAAACAGCTTGAGTTGTCATTGTTGTAATCTCCTCCTTATTTCCTGTTTATATTACACACATCAAAATCAAGGTAATTACCATTAAAAAATGCATTACATCCAAAAAAACTAAAACTGAGCTGTAAATAAATAATGGAAAGATTAGCATCATCTTCAAGCTACCACCTTTACCACGCTGAGATTCCAGTTCTGTGATCCTGGCTTTCAGGAAATCATTCTGAAAAAGTAAAAATTTTATTCATTAAAAGAAAAAAATGTACAGACGACCATGCAGAAAAAAAACCATGCACCAGAATAGAAAAACATTACCTCTTTTTGTAGCAATTTGATTGCTCTGTCTTCATCACACTCGGACACTTCCTCAGAAATTTTCTTTGATTCAGCAACAGTGACTCTACTTTTCATGCTTGGTGATTCATTCAAGCCATTCCTTTTGTGAGAAATCATGTCACTACTTTCAGAAACAGATTCAAGGACATCCTCATCTAATAAGATTCCATTTGATTGCTTAGGGTCAATAGCTATTACAGAAGGTTCATCTATCTCTGAATCTGATGTTACAGGATGACCCGAAGGAACACTAAAATCTTCAGCATGTTCATCCTCATGAACTAATAAAGTTGGTTCTGTTCCATTATCTACAACAAAGTTGTCATTTGGATTGGACACACAGTCTCTCTCAGAAGATTGGTTGTCTATATTAGGTGAAGAATTTTCATTTTCTGTGTGTTCCATGTACATCCAATTCATTGGGAATGGAGAGGATAAATTTTCTTGATGGCAAAGGATGTCATACGAGAGGACACTTCCCAGCGAATGACCATATATAGAAACCTACAAAAATAAAATCATAATCAAAGAACTTTAAGCATGAAATGTAATAATTGAAACCTAAAAGGCCATTAGTAATGCTGGTTCTGCATAGGTGAGGTGCTAGGAGGCCCCTTTGAATAATCATATAGACTGCAAATAGACCTTAACCTTTCACATTATTTTTCACAAAGCGGTTGCTCTCATACTCAAACCAGCCTCATCACATTTGTCGGCCCACGTTTTTACCGTTGCACCAAGTGATGGCCCCTTCGAATTATCAAAACCTAATGAAGGAAAAAAATGAATATTCCACCAGCTACATACCTTTCCATCATAACCAGGATTCCTCTTAAGAAACTTCAAATATAATAGGTTTAGTTGGTAGGAGACCTGACAAGGAAATAATTAATTATCAATTTATGAGATGAAAATTTATTTGTTGACATCCATGGCTTCAAGTCCATTTAACCAAAAAATGAAGTTCAAAATATGAAACTAAATGCTAATGAAATGCTCAAATGTATCCAAAACACAGAAAGATATGATGAACTCCTTGAAGAGGAATTATGCTCAGTGGTCAACTCCCAGACAAAATGAGGAACAATTCTTATGCCTACATGCATTCTCCAGATCCTAATGTTGAAACATTTATGACCTGCTTCAAGAGATACATAGAGCATATTTCTTCTCTATACCATCCCAATTAACCTAACCCAACAATCCCGCCTTTTTTTTTTTTTTTGATAAGTAAGAATTGCATAAAAAAACGCTCAAAAGGGGAGCGCATCCCAAAGGAACAACAAAAGGCAAAAAACCTCTAAGCCTTCAAAGAGGCCAAAAAAACAACAATGTCTTCAATGGATCTATAATCTATACCCAAAACCCAACAAAAAAGAGTGGAAACAATGGAGAACTTGAGAAAAGAAATAGGCAACTCCTTTCCATCAAAGTATCTCATGTTCCTCTCAAGCCAAATGCACCACCAAATACAAAGAGGCATAGCCCTCCAAGCATCCCGGAAGTGAGCCCCCACAGAACAACCTTTCCAAGCCTCAATCAGCCCTCTAGAAGATCCAAGCATGACCCAAGGAAAACCAAACAGACCAAGCATCAAATCCCAACATTCCTTGGCTAAAGGACAATGCAAAAGAAGGTGATCCACTGTCTCTTCATCCCGAAGACACATGTAACACCGATTGACCACCACCTGATTTCTCCTTCTCAAATTATCCTGAGTCAAAATCTTCCCCAAAACAGAGGTCCAAGCAAAGAAGACCACCTTAAGAGGGGCCTTAAAATGCCAAACGGCCTCCCACGGGAAAAAACCTTCAGGCACATGAGTGAGACACCTGAAGAAGGACCGAACATCAAAGCGACCCTGAGCATTGGGAACCAAATCAAACATCAGAATCTCCAACCATAACACCCTGACGATACAACACCTCCAGAAGACAAATGGCATCCTTAACTTCCCGGTCCATTTAGGACTCCTCAATCGAACATCCCAAACCAATCTCCCACTATCAAGATGATAACAGTTGACCACCCTGGCCGGCCTATCCGTAGCAATCCTGAACAACCGAGGGAAAGCGAGAGCAAGAAGAAGGTCCCCACACCAGACATCCTCCTAAAAACTAATCCTCCTGCCATCCCTAAGACGAAAACGAACATGAATGGAGAAATTATCCCAGCCCTGTCGGATAAACTTCCAAACCCCCCACACCCCTAGGACCCCACACCTCTAGAGAGCTCCATCCTCCTCTACTCTCCCCATATCTGCTCACCACCACCCTCCTCCACAGTCAATGCCTCTCCACCCCAAACCTCCATAGCCATTTCTCAATGAGAGCTTTATTGAAAGGCACCAATCTTCTAAGCCCCAACCCTCTAAACCGAATCGGCCTACAAACTTGCTCCCAACGAACCAGTGAAACTTAAACTCCCCCCCCCCCCCCCCCCCCCCCCCCACACACAAACCCAAAAAAAAAAAAAAAATTACGCTGCAAAAGTTCAATTTTCTCTGCCACAGAGGAGGGAATCTGGAAGAGAGATAAAATAAGTGAGAAGACAAGAAAGGGTACTCTTAATCAGAGTCACCCGCCCACCCTTGGAAAGATACTGCTTCTTCCACCCCCCAGCCTCCTCTCAAATCTATTCACAACTGGATCCCAAACCCCCACACACCTCAAGGGAGCTACCAAGGGCAACCCTAAATAAGAAATGAGAAAGGAACCTGTACGGCATCCAAGAACGCTGGCAAGCATCTCAGGGACCTCCCCAACTGGAACCAAAACACTTTCCAACATTCACCTTAAGACCGGAAACAACTTGGAACCATATCAAAACACACTTCAGATATCTGAGTTGGGACACATCCGCATCACAAAGCACTAAAGTATCATCCGCAAACATCAGGTGTGAAATCTTCAACTGACTAGCAACATCCCTGCCCACTCGGAAACCTCTCAGAAAACCCAACTCTATAACCTTCCTCATCAACCTGCTGAGAGCTTCCATCATAAAGAGGAACCAAAAAAGGGAAAGCGGATCTCCCTGCCTCAAGCCCCTCGAGCTAGTAAAAAAACCCGACAGAGCTCCGTTCAAAAGCACGGAGAAACGAGCACTGGAAATACAAAAATGAATCCATTTCTTCCATCGCACTCCAAACCCCATCCTCTCCATCAAATATAGAAGGAAGCTCCAACTCACATGGTCGTATGCATTCTCAATGTCCAACTTACACAGAACTTCCGGATCCCCACTGCACAATTTGGAGTCAACTCACTCACTAGCAATAAGAACTAAGTCCAAAATCTGTCGACCTCCCACATAAGTATTCTGGGAGTCAGAAATAACCTCATCCAACACTTTCCTCAACCTATTAGCAAGAACTTTAGCAATCAACTTATAAATGCACGAACATCCAGCGCACCACCCCCCCCCCCCCCCCCCCTCCCCCTCCCTTTTGGGAATGTGAGCGATGAAAGTGGCATTCAAGTTCCTCTCAAAAGAGCCCTGAGCGTGGAAAGCATGAAAAGTGCCCATCACTTCCCTTTTGACCACCTCCCAGCAATCCAGAAGAAATCTTATAGTAAACCCATCAAGACCTGGGGCTTTATCCCCGTTGCAACTCTTTAAAGCAACCAACACTTCCTCTTCAGAGAAACACTCCTCCAGACTAGAACCCTCCTCACTAGAGATAGAATCAAACTGAAGCCCCTCAAGCAAAGGTCTCCAGCCAACAGGCTATGTGAAAAGCTTCACACAGAACTCAACAATACCCTTGCAAATGTCATCCTCCTTGCACAAAACCTCCACTTCCACCCGGATCCTTCCTATATGATTGCCCCTTCTATGGGCGTTGGTCAAACGATGGAAAAACTTCGTGTTCCAGTCACCTTCCTTGAGCCACAAAGCACGAGACTTTTGTCCCCACGAAATCTCTTCCATGATAGCAATCTCAGCAAACTCCACCTGACATTCCACCTCCTAGCCTTCAAGGAGTCCACCAGGACCCCCTGACCCTCCATCCGGTCAATATCAGCAATCTCAGATAAGACCCGATTCTTCCTCCAAACAAGATTCCCGAAGACCTCCTTGTTCCAAATCTTGATATCTTCCTTAAGAAGACGCAAGTGAACCATAAGCAAATGACTTGGGGTACCGACCCCCCCATACCCATCCCACCATAATCGGACCGTATCCAGAAAAACCTCAGCACGAAGCCACATATTCTCGAATCTGAATGGAGATCGCCTACTATGCAACCCACCACAGTCCAACATCAACAGAACATGATCAGAGATAGGGCAAGCCAAGGTAGCCTGGACAACATCAGAAAACTTCTCCTCCCAGTCACTCGATACAAGGAATCTATCGAGCCGAGAAAGGGTAGGAGGAGAACGTCCACTAAACCAAGTAAAAGGCCCTCCCCCCAAAGGCAAATCAACCAGCCCAGAATCATCAATAAAAGCCAAAAAGGACTCCATATCAGACGTCCACCTTCCCCCCGTCGATCTCTCAAATGGAGAGCGAACAACATTGAAATCCCCTCCAATACACCACGGCAACAACCAACGCCTACCAGAATCCCCCAACTCCTCCCATAATAACTGCCTTGTCAAATCCTCCGTAGGCCCATACACACCCGAAAAGACCCAATGGAAACCATCCTCCACCATAGAGAACACACATGAAATAGAGAAACTCCCAACCCAAGAATCCACTAAAGACACCCATCAACTATCCCACAAAACAAGAACACCACCCAAAGAACCAATGGCATCCAAAGCACACCACTTCACAAATCTCCCACCCCAAAGGCTTCGCACAATCAAATCCGTCATCGAAGCAATCTTGATTTCTTACAAACACACCACATGACCTCCCCCTTTACGAATGACCGACTTCACCACTTTCTTCCTCACCGGGTCATTTAGACCCCGCACATTCCAAGACAAAATTTGTAACTTCATAGGGAAACAGTAGTAAAACCAGTCCCTCCCCTCCTCCTACTGCCCCTTTCCCTAGACCTTTGTTCCGTCTTTCACAAGAAACAATGTCCGCGGATCTCCTCACCTCCCTCTCACATGCCCCATCCTGAACACCACCCCTACATCCCATCCTTTCCAAAAACTGTGAATTGAGGATATCATGGAACATTCTCAACGCCTCCTCCATTTTCCCCTCAAAAGACACTCCCGAAAGAGAGCCCACCTCCCCCCCTTTTTCTCGAAACCACTCCTCCTCCAAACCTTCCCTTCCAGCAACATCATCAACACCTTCCGAAAACTCCTCTTCCGGTCGAAAAACAGCCAAAGGAACACACGTCTCCACAACTTGCTCAGCTCCTTCCCACGGAATCAACCCCAGTTCCACATCAAAAGAAGAACACAAAACTCCCTCCCAATCCTCAAGGATAGAGGTGGAGGGTGTGCAGCTAGCCATCAGAGTCCCAACCTCCTCAACAGTAAAAAAAAACCCCTGGCACAGTCTGAAAATCTTTCAGCGCCAAGTGAACCCGAAGTTCCTTGATCAAAGCAACAGCAGAAACATCATCCAAATTAATCTGCACATCTCATCCCACACATACAATAACACCCTCCCGCTTCTTGTCTGGAGACCCCAAGGAACCCAACAAACAACCCTGACTTTCACCTTTCCGAGCATCCAAACAAATCTCCGAAGCTGCCTCAAACACCAGAGACAACCTCTTGGAAAGAGAGGAAAACCCTTCCTTCTCCAGTCCAGAACACCTCTTCGACACCCCACAAGGAGTGGGAGAAGAAGAAAAAGAAGAGGAGGGAAGGAGGAAAGAACTTCTCGACTAAGAGGTGGACTTACCCGGAAAGGAAGCGGAGTTGTTATTCAACACCCATTTCTGATTCTCCTTACGTGACCATCTCCTTCAGAATGCAATAAGAAGAATCTTCTTCTTATTTCTTAGCAGGCAACCTTGTAGAGGGAGCGCATCACGCCGTCTGTCCCTTTTAAATCCGGAAGTCATAATAGCAGGTCCATCAACTAAAGAAAGGGGCCCAAACTTATTGGCTACCTTCAGCTCACCGTCCCTTTTAAAGCCAAGAGTCATAATAGCAAGTCCATCAACTGAAGAAAAGGGCCCAAACTTGTTGGCCACCTTCAGCCCAGAGTCAGCAGAGACAAAACGCGGCCCACCCTTCATACTGCAACCCAAATCAGAAGGAACACATAAATTCTTACCAACCTGGGCCTTCTTATCACAAACTGGATCACAACTTATGTCTGGGCCTCGTCCCACCATAGGCCCATGAGGAGACGAACCATCAAAACAAGGCATAATGACCCCAACCACCGGCCCAACCATGGGCCCATCAGGACAGGAGGGTTGCAATGTCTTACGAGGTCCAACATTTGAATCTTTAGACACAAAGGTGGAAACAACTGTAACCCACCGCGGACGGCCCCCACCTACGTGCTGGAGGCGCGTGGAAACCACCTCGGTATCTTCTCCGATCCCCAACTTGAAAAGCCGGCAGGCAGTCATGCCCTCTGAAACCACCCCTCTGAGCATCCCGTCGAAAAACATGTCTAACACGAAAAAACAATGAAGAAGAACCTTCATACCTTTTCTGAGTGAACAGTTTTTTGAAACATTCTATGTTGCGAACCCAGACCTTGTCCCTCCACGCCTTCCATTTCTGAAATTCAACCTTCCTCTTCTGTCCCATGGACTCCCATCTCAGCCAATCAACTTCCTTCAACAGATGCGAGCCATCTCTACCTTCCAAGCTGTCCGTCATCGGAACAAGAACAGAGTGCTTCTCCTCCCAAACAGCCACTTTATAGCAGAAGTGATCATCATGAACGAAGACAAAAGGAGGGCACGCACGACCCACAAAAACCGTGATACAGACTCTTTCAGCATCCTTGGATTCATCAGCATCAACCCAAATAAAGCCACCGCAAAGGTCGCCGACCGTCACAAACAAAGCATGGCTCCAGAGGTGAAGAGGGAGACCATAAAGTGCAACTTTCTTCAGCCCTTTCTCCTTCAACTTCCTTCAACAGATGCGAGCCATCTCCACCTTCCAAGCTGTCCGTCATCGGAACAAGAACAGAGTGCTTCTCCTCCCAAACAGCCACTTTATAGCAGAAGCGATCATCATGAACGAAGACAAAAGGAGGGCACGCACGACCCACAAAAACCGTGATACAAACTCTTTCAGCATCCTTGGATTCATCAGCATCAACCCAAATAAAGCCACCACAAAGGTCGCCGACCGTCACAAACAAAGCATGACTCCAGAGGTGAAGAGGGAGACCATAAAGTGCAACTTTCTTCAGCCCTTTCTCCTTCAAAACCTCGGAGCAACCCACTCTGAAATTCCAAGACTCCACTCGGAGAGTGGCCTTGCCCCAGTCCCAACGACCCTCCTTGAGCACACGATCTACCTCCGTCGGAGAGGGGAGACGAAAAAGGATCAACGTATCCGGTAAAGGCGAGACCACCACTTCAGCTGAGACCTTCCAAGCCCGCGTTGCCCAAGCGGCGATTTGAGTCAAATCACCCACTTCCTTATCAAACTGACCCACCAAACACGATCGCAAGTCCTCTTTCCTCCTACCAACCGAATCATCATCCAAGAAAATCAAAGGACCTCTGTACGTGTTTGCAGATCTGGCAGACCCACCCTGAAAGAGACGAGGTAAACGAGCAACCTCCAAGAAAGAAAGCATAATACACCAGAAACAGAATAAGCAAGCCTTTGCATAAGATTCAAAGGAATGTACCAAAGATTTGAAGGAATGTATCAGATGTTGTGATAGAATTAAGCATGTATAACACAAACAACATAAAATCGTTATACAACAATCTCAACAATCCTGCTTGTTGACCAGGAGGGTAGTTTAAAAGCAACACATGAAGAGTGATGATATACCAATTCGATCCGAGCTCTTGGAATTGGGAACACTCAGTTGATCGTGCCACTCTGATGTTGACAATAAATATCTCAAGGTATTGCCAATGCCAGACACGCAAATGAGGAAAATGCCTCAGATAATTGTCATCAATTTAACTAATTGGATGGTGCAGAATACTTTAAACTACATCTAAAATAATTGGAGACTAATTGATAGATATATAGATAGATAGATACATAGAGAGAGAGGTAGAAGTCTTTTATTTTATTTTTTGTGTGGGGTGAGGGTGAAACACACAAGCATACACACACAACTCCAGATGGACAATAAACAGAGGTGCTGAATATCCATATATAAATCCAAAAGATCTCTCATTCCTTATCCTACTGTTGTATCTCCCAGTTCATTTTCCTAATAATCCAATTTCTTCTGAAACCTGAGTGATGTTAAATCAAACAAATTCATCTTGTCCCCGTCTTAAATGGTGTACATATAATCAAAGCCATTCCAGCAAAGCCACAATAGATGTCAGGGAGGGGTGGTGTTAAGATTTCAAAAATTCTCACCATCTATTAAAAGATGTCTATATGTCCCTATCATGCCCAAATGAGACATACTGATGTCCGGAAAAGAATACGTCTTTAGTGAGCATTATTTGGCTGGGTGTGTGTGCACAAAGAGAAGTGAAAAAATAATAAGAAGCTCCAGGCTACAAGGCCCATGAAAGCTCTTTGCCGACAAATCCAAGATGTGCCGAAGAGGAATAAAGTGGTGGATTATATTAAACCCAATGCAAGTTTTCACTCAATGGTATAATATATTGATTGGCTCAATCAGAAACCCTTTTTCTACTGACTGTTGTCTTTAGATGTCTAAAGAGGTTAGATGGGAAAAAGAGCCGAAGGACAATAAGCAGGTGCAGGTATTGGATGGGTGTCTAGGCAGACTGCCTCCTCAGTTGACTTGTGGGACAGAATGCTTTCCTCTACTTGAACTTCCATCACCATAAAGATTGAAGGCATTCCTCTAGCAATTCTCACTTGGCTCTTCCAACGGAAAATCCTAGCATTTTGACAACCTCTTCCTGTCAGGAAATTCAATTTAATATTAATGGCCCTTCTCTTGAACCCTATGTCAATTGATACTTATTTAAACTACTTTAATACTAGGACTTGAACCTGGACTTCCCACCTTGGGAAAGGAGGAGATACCACTTAGACAAACAAATGATTGAATTGTAGGCAACCGATTCCTTTCTAAGACTAGCAAAGATGGATTGCCATCCACGCAGTGTTTAACATTCTAGGGCTGTGATGGGAGATACATCCCAGGTATCGGATGTTGCGGACGTGAGTTTGTTTCAATACTAAGAAACATTGTCAAAATAAACTGATACGCAAGTTTTAATTCCTGAATTCAAGAAAACTATTTTTTAATGATTCTAAATGAATTTCACTAAAAATTCAAAGGTGATTTCATATTAGGAATGGGCTATAAATTAAATTGTATGGCACTATCAGCAGTATCAGTGTCATAATTTGTACTGTGCACTAAATTTATGGCCACAAATACATATTAAACAAAAAAAAAAAGGTAAATTACACTGACCTCCCCTGAGGTTTGCCCTAATTACACAAGGCATCAAACTTGTACATTTTGTTGCACCGTGCTCCCCTGTGGTTTGTTCTGTTATGACACATACCCCCTTCCGTCCAAAATGTGGCTAGTGACATAAAAAAAAAAAATGGTTCCAAAATGCCCATCAACTAAGAGGAAAAGACACTAGTACCCTTAGATTGCCATCAAATTTAAAAAAAAAAAGAAAAAGAAAAAGAAAAAGAAAAAAGATCTTATTTTCATGGATGAAAAAACCCTTCTCTCTCTTCATCTCTCTCTCTCTCTCCACCTACAACTTATGCACTTTTTTTATTTTTTTTTTATTTTACCTTCAGCTCACATCACAAAGAAAATATATATATATATATACATATTGCATTTATAAATGCAAACCCACCAATAAATATATATATATATATATATAATATTTGATATTATAAGTCCATGGCTGTTAGAGAACTGACTTTACAAGTCCCAACCTCGAGTGACCCATGCCAGATGCAAATCATGCAACTTAAAGCGATAGTGGGATGACTACATATATGAATAAAATTGTGGGAGCACCAAATTTGGAAACACTTGGAAGCGTCCACACAAAACACAAGCATATATATGACTATGAACATGCACACACAAAATATACCCCTAAATATATGTATATATTGTTATTCAAATAACAACTATAACAGGTGAAAATTTGCGAGTGAGTGCCAGTCAAATATGGGGAAAAAAGAACAAAAATAACAACTAATCCAACATGGAAAAGTATTAAGTAGCTACCTATTTAGAGTAAGCAACAATGGCATGTAACCTCCATTGTAACTTTTTGTCAAAATCTATGATCTTAGAGTAAGCTAGCATGAATAAACAAACACATCACCTGTCCACCTGTTTATCATAATGTAATCAAATTGCTATTGAAGAAAACAAATTTGTGTAAGTTTCTACAAGAAGTGACTATTGACCCAAATTTTTACATTAGTTTACATAAGGTATTCTCATATCCAAAAATATTACAATATTTTTTTATCCTTATTTAAGTAATTTGTTCAACACTAAGTTGCTGAAAAAAGATTAAGTTGATATATAAATATATAAATTGCCTTCCCACGTATGTAAAATAAGAATGATGTCAACATCAATTATGCACGCCAAAGTAAGCATTTAAACAAATATACTCTCAACAGGAATAGGAAGGAAAGAAAAAGAAAGACAAGGAAGAGTAAGAAGCTGAAGATAAAAAGTAAAGTACCGAGTTGATAATATCTTGACAGTAGATGGGACTCATGTAGTATAATACATCATGAACAGTGGCACTCAACATCACACGCAACCCCCGAACACCGTCTAAAGTAATCTTTTCAACTGCAGTTTCACCGCTGAGCTTCAAACCCCTCCTCCACTGGATATACAAGCAAATGAAGTCATTTCAGCAGTGAACATGAACAAGCTTTAAGTTTGAAAAAGAAAAAAGAAATCTAATAGAGAAGAGAGAGAATACAAACATATGACTTCGAATTATATCATAAATGATAAAACCAGAGAAATATAAACAAATGAGATTAAGTCTCACAATATATTACCACATAACAATATCAAAACAACCTGTACACCACATATATATATGCATTTTGGAAAAACCCCAATAGTTTTCTGAATCATAATGAAGAAATAAGTGAATCAAAAGTCTTTTCTTCCTACACAAAAAAAAAAAAAATCAGGAGATCAAGCTTTAGTGTTTCTCCTTTGATAAAAATGTCCCTTGTGTTACTACAGTCCGTATGACAGCTTTGATATTCAGCAAAAAATTAGGCAACATTGGGTTGGACAAAGGAAGGAAAGGTGGTTGAAATTAAAGATCTAGATCAATAAATGACTTACGAGTCTTAATGTCCAAATTCGAAAATCGTGGACCTTATGAGGTATGTAATCGGCATAAGGATTTCAAGAAGAACAACTTATTGGTGAAATTCAAAGGATTGGTTTTCTTTAAGAAATCTTAAGTACAAAGATGCCGCCGCCCCCCGCCCCCGGGCAAGATATTAAGATAAGAAGTATGCAATCTAAGACTACCAACAAGACAATAGACAACAAACTCAAAAAGGACATGCTTGGGAGTCTATACGGCAACTTTCCTCCCTGAACTTTATTTTCTATCTATATATAAAAGGTAATGCAGACGGAAAAGGCTTAATTGAATTATGTATTTACACATGACACGGTAGATTTACCCATTCACAACTAATTTACAGTTATTACCAGCCTCCAAAATAGGCTAGAAGTCTTATTTCAATTTTCAAATGCCTAATGCACCCAAAGTAATAGATTTCAGCAGTGTCCTAATCCACTGGCAATATCTTCACTCCTCAATTACCCCTGACAAAGGAAATTCTATGAATCTTAAATCATACAGCCGCCATATATGTACATGCAGAAAGTTAGGACACTAGTTATAGTGAATTGGACTAAACAGCTGCCATATATGTACATGCAGAAAGTTAGGAGACTAGTTACAGTGAATAGGACTGAGGTGATTCAACCACTCAAGAAAAGTAACTTTCTTTTTCAGTTAAAAAAAAAAATTGAGGACCCCAAAAATCAAATGAAATTGTATTTCCTCCTAGAGGGACTGAGGCACTTCATAGGCCATTCTCCATTCTACACTCCTTTCAATGATTTGCATACAATGAGTCAGAATTATCATATTATCCTCTATAAATATCCACACACTAATACACTACTTATCTTCAGAAGTATCCCAGAACCAGGATAAGCAAACAATCAGGTTAAGTTGAAGGTAAATAATCTGTCTACTTTTTCACCTAATGCAACCAAAATTTAGTCTTAAAGATTTATTTCCAAAAACATGGCAACTCCATCAAAACTGAAAAAAGATAATTCCAATTCTTAAAAATATTACATACAAAAGCATATTGTGGCATATAACTGTTCATTAAAACAACATGTTCGCCTCTTGCAAAGCTCTTATCAAAGAGTGGAATACCAACATAAAAGATATTTAGAACTCCTAAACATAACAAATTAAAGGCAGCCGGTTTTCTGATGAGTTTGTTTAAAAGCTAATGAAGTTTTGTACTCAACGATGACTGACTGAAGCAGTAGCAGCATAGACCAAGTTGTGCGCTAATATGTGCTGAATTCTAGCCTAAGGATCAATTTGGGAAAGAGTGGAATGATTCTTATAGGACACATGGAAAATGAGGTGGTTTGAGGTGGTTTGGCATCAAATTTCAGGTGTAAAATGGGGTCCCTTCCACTTCATCTCTGGGTTTAAAATTTTTTTTTTTTGATAAGTAAGAATTTATTAAAAACGCTCAAAAAGGGGAGCGGAATCCAAAGATACAAAACAAAAGGCTAAAGGGCGCCTTAGACCTTCAGAGAGGCCAAAAAAACAATAATTTCCTCTGTAGATCTATAATCTCTCCCTAAAACCCAGCAAAAAATAGTACAAATAACAGAGAACTTAAGCATAGAAACAGGCTTCTCTTTTCCATCAATATATCTCCTATTTCTCTCGAGCCAAATACACCACCAAATACAAAGCGGCGTAGCCCTCCAAGCATCTTGAATGGAAGCCCCAACGGATACGCCTCTCCAAGCCTCAATCAACCCTCTAGAAGAACAAGGCATAACCCACTGAACCCCAAATAAACCAAGCATCAAATCCCAACAATCTCTGGCCATACTACAATGTAAAAGGAGGTGATCAACTGACTCCTCATTGCACAAGCACATATAACACCGATTGACCACCACCTGATTCCTCCTTCTCAAATTTTCCTGCGTTAAAATCTTGCCTAGGACTGAGGTCCAAGCAAAAAAGGCGACCTTGCGGGGAGCCTTGGAACGCCAAATAGACTTCCATGGGAAGGGTTCTCCGTGATGAAACGAAAGGCTCTGGGTTTAAAATTGGGGTCTTCATTTAAAGCTAAAGCAATTGCAGAGAGGTTTGAAGATGATTCACAAGGTAGAAGAGTCCATTTTCATTGAGAAGGAATTCATTAATGCTAAAAAAACAAATGAATGTGACTTCATAATTTGGTGGCATGTCAATTCAAGGAAAAAACCTCGATATATGCACCCCAGTTACCAAACATTATGCAAAAGTTTAATACCATAGACTAAAGTTATATTTTACCAAAGGGAAAAGGATATAAATTATTGTGATATAAAGATCCAATATATTCGATACACTTCTATTTTCTCTTCATTTTTTACTTAAACGAATGAGAGCTAGATTTACAATATGAAAGGGAACGTGCAACATGCCCAGATCCCATATCGTTCTCTGATCTCATTCCATGGCAACAAATCCCAAAGCTAAGAACCAATGTGAATAAATAGTCAACACAATATTCGGGTGTACTATTTACCTGGCATGGGATGTAAAGAACTCTTTGAGTGTCACGTTGGTACGAAGTTAGGTGCCGTTCAGCAAGGCTTGCTGTGATATGGCGAAAGTTGCCAACATCATCTACTAAATTAGATTTCTCCAACCTTTGACCAATACCATGAACCATAAATACTAAGTGCCGAACAGGAACCTGAACCAACAATAAAAGGTTAAACAGTATTTTGCAAAACAAAATTAACTTCTATAATATAAAAGTTTGTCGCAGTCAAACATTAAAAGAAAGACACTGTATTTATGGGATAAAAATACACAGCATTCTCGTTGAATTTTAAAACTACTGCAATAAAGATATTTTGTATTGAAAAAATAAAATAAAAAATAAAATAAAATAAAATAAAAAAACATAGATATATTAAGGTTAGTTCAGATTACAATAATTCTCTAGTCATTATTAGTTATTACCAAGATTTGCTATAACATGTCGCCCAAGCAATAGCCCTAACAATTGACATACACAAAATGCAAATTTGTAATCAATGCTTTTGAATCATCTACCTCATTTAGATTTTTAAACATTACATTATTCTTGATAGATATTTTTTTGGCATGTATTGAGAAATACAAAGAGAGCATTTTATCTTAACAAATAAAAAAAACTATCCGAATTACAAGCCCTTATTTGGTTATACTCCCGCCTATGCAAGGTGTTGGGAGGGAAAGACTTGAAACCTATTCTTCGACAATAATTTTGCAGAAAGTGGCTTTGCTTAGAACTAACCCAAATCCTCAAATTGTCACTCCTTTCAATTTTCTTTTATAAAAGCACTTCCAAGTACATTTGATAATTGTTTATTTCACATAAATTCTATTACAGTAACAATCTAGAATAGAATTGACACATATACTGGCCAGTCGCCCAAGCAGCAGCCTAAGAGTCGTCCAATTGCCTTAACAAGAACACATGCGGCTGCACAGATGCCTAGGCAGCCACCATATCATGGCCACCTATGCAAGGTTCGCCTAAGCATTTTAAGTAACTTCTATCACCTAGGTGGGTGTCAATAATAACTAAACAGTTGTCAATAACAACTATGGTTTATAACCAGGATTTCATTATATATTTAATCATTTCGCCACACATACAAATATATATTTCTGCAAGGGGGTAATGCTGTCAAGAATCTCTCAAACTTTAGTGTTACTCCAAAATGGCCCCTCTTGTTTTGCTCTATGATTGGTAACCTAGTGTTTTTTTTTTCCCCTGGTCAAACTTGCAGCTAACAACATCTACAGCAGTAACTAGCATTTTCTTAAAAATTAAGTGGTCTAAAATCACCAAATTCAGCTATTCCTTCAGCATCATTTCTTTTCAATAACATCAAGATACAATGCATGTCCAACAAAATTTCTTAGTGAAACCAGACAGCCTTCACACAGTGCTCAGTGTCTTGTTGCCCATGGACTAGAAAGCACCAAAATGTCCTTCAGGATATGTATCGAACACACAAAGATACATGTTCAAAATGCAGCAAGTGCCTACCTTCTTTTTATCTTATTTTTAAAACCAAACACTTAGTGAACATGCGGAGGATGGGGTATACGTGGTGATGACGGCATAAATTTTTCTTAGAAAGGGGGTGAAAATATAAAAGCAAGAAAATCTAGGATTAAGAAAGAAGAGAGAGAGGGAGAGAAGCCCCAATTACAAGGTATCCTGAGTAGAGCGATTGCAAGAGAAAATGAGAAGAAGAAGAATACTAAAAGGTGAAGAAGTTGCATATGATTAGAGCTAAGAAGCAGCAACGTAACATCACAAACCCTAGACCTATTCTATGGCTCTTGTTTTTAGCCTCACGTGCTGGGGATGAGGATGAAAAATAGATTTAGGATTGATGGGGATTTATCAATTAAATCGGACCAATATTAATTGAAGAGTGACTCGACTGAGTCCGTATGGAAACAATCAAATCCTAAGCGCAACAAGAACTGTCCGATCACAATCTCCCAAATAGACCTAAAGGAAATGGTTTTGGTGTTTTGGGGGGGAGGGGGGGGGGGGGGGGGGGGGTGTGGTGTTGTCGTTCGAAATAGGTCTTGAAAGTTAAATTACCGTCTTTTACCAATTAAAACTTCAATAGACAGAATTGACATAAATATGAAATACTCTGATACCACGTTTACAAAGAAACGATCAATTCAATTCTATTTTTACAATTAATAAGATAATTGAAATAACTCTATAAAACAAATAAACATATCCAAAAGCTTGATTGATATTTATGCATATAACTTGATCATTCAGAACATACAATCGTGCTTGATAAAACAAACATACTCATCATCATGGATAAATAAAACAATATAAAGTGTGATAAGTAGAGTTAGAATGCACACCAGATTTTACATTAAAAACCTACCCAACTGGTAAATCAAAAACCACGGAAGACCAAGTCTGACAAATCATTCCACTATGAAGAAAGAGATACAACCCTATGAAGTAAGAACTTTAGTTCAATCTTGAGACTCAACAAGGCACCAAATCTTCAATGCTTGTTTCAACCCAATTGTTTGCCTCACAAAACAATTGCTTTACTCCAACACACTCCAGAAGATCTCTTCAGGTGGTCCTTCAGCCAATAACAGTGATTCAGTACTATTGAACCCTGCTTCTTCATAGAATGTTCTTCGACAAGTCATCCAACCTGTGCGTCTTAAATAAATCTGGTTTCGACTTCTTCAATATTGAATAAATGTCATAGCTCAGCAGCAATAGTATCAATATCCAATAACCATCAAAATCACCATGACTAGTATGTATGACGCATGATGACAAATAAATCGATACTCTATCAATCTCACAAGATTAACTCTCATATTTGTGTGTGCATAAAGTTTCACAAGAACAAAAACAAACAAATATATGTTTATGAATGGTGTGGATTCATAAACTAAACCCCCAATGCATATAAGATATATATGCCGTTTATAATTGGTGTTTACACACTTTTCACACACTTTTTCATACACCCTTTAGGGTTTATAGAACCTCTGTATTTATAGGCATTCATTGGCTAACTTCCATATAGTGAATAAGGAAATAACTTAGCGACTAAGAATTCCCAAAACTGCCTTTTCCGCGTCTGTGGATTCGATGCAATGCTATAGGTCGACCAATCGAGGTTCCCTTGTAAATCAATTGAACCCTTCCGAACCTGTCGAACAAAATTGCACTAACTGTTGATCGATTGAGGCTCTCTTCTGTATAGATCAACAGACTACTTCTCACGCTAGATTGAAGTTTAACTCACTCATAATCAATATAGTGCATATATCAGTTTGAGCTGCATTAACTAACCTTTGAGAATTAAACATGCATATTTCAATATATATTTATGAATGATCAAGTAAGTTTATAAAACTTTGAAATTCGATTAAATAAACATGCATGCATGATCCTAAATGGTGATAGATGATTATAAGAACAATTTTACCTTTCTACTTTTGTGCAGACAAAGCCATTGAATTTGTTTGTTGTTGAACCATCACTTCATTCAAACACTTCACATATCATCCAAATATCACTCTTGAACATAAATCTTCACTTCTAGACTAACATCACTCTAAATACTTAGAATGTTGTACGAAAAAAACATTGTCTAGAATTCAATTTATGTGTTTTGGTCTACGATATTTGCCAACACTTAAGACTATAGACTCATAATCCTAACAAGGATCATTATCTACAGGGCTTTATTTTATCTTTTGGTATTTATTTAATTTGGTTAGGTTTAGTATTCATATTTTCCAATTTTTATGAGGCTTTTATGTAATAGGTAGATCATGATTCCTATGGAAAACTGGTAAAATGAATTGTTGACTTCTTCTGTGTATGACTTCTTCTGTGTATTGTCTCCTCTTTCTTTCCCTAGCCACATAGTTGGAACTTGTGACTCCCTTTCAGCACTTAAGTCGAGTGTAGCGAAGGGATTTTCTCCTCAGTGAAGCATTGGAGATAGCCTTCCTCGTACTGGCAACCCGGATACAAGCTGATATCTCAGACTTACTGACAACAAATGTCTACCCCAACTCAATTCTGCAAAACCCAACCCAAAATCATGACTATTCAGGGTCCACCACATGAGTCATTTTTCCTATGTTCAGCTATATCTAGACCATATCTTCCCTTAGCCCTTGTAAGCTCTATTTTCTCACAGGTTCACCCATGTTCTTTCTAGCCTTCGTCATACCAAAAACTCACTCTCTCATAATGCACCACACACACACACACACACACACTCACCACCAAATGTTATTTGTTAAACAAAGCCAAAAATATTAGACAGCAATTCATCGTTGCTCCAATCAATCAAAACTCTGAGACGCATGTAATAGAATATTATGATGAAACATTTTAATAATTCAAAAGGATAACGACTATGAAAGAACATGTACATATATACATAAAGAAGAAAAAGGAAAAAAGAAAAATTGCGAGTTGTATAATACACTAATAAAACCCTTTGAATGTATGGCTATGAGCAAATTGGAACTAGCATACCTGTGAACAGTAATCGTCCATTTCCTCCTCCTGCTTCTGACGTAATTCATCCTAAAGCAGAAAAACAGTTATTGAGCTGTGACTTATGTTCTGTTTCAGTGGCAAAGACCAAAGAGGCAGTACCGTTTTATTTCAAGAAAATATGAAGCCCTATATGGCATCAATGACTAGGATATTTAAAATCATAACAAAATAGATTAATTATAAAACTAAAATCTCCTATAGAAGATGTGACAGATGAAAATAAAAAATGCCAGTGTGTGTGTGTAAATGTCTTCGAAAAAGTTACATGGCCAATCATATTATAGCTAAGCAAGGTGAACCATCCTAAAACACATCACAAAATTAAACTCTGAAAGACGAACCTACATTGACAACATTGAATAAGAAAAATAAGAAAATTAAAAGGAGTGGGGAGGGAGGGATAAGAGCGAGAATTGATATCTCAACATTAAACTATGAACTATGTTCCAGGAAAAAAAAACATTTAACTAGAACTACTTTCCAAAAATATATATAAACAAACGGTTATGAACGGAAGGTGCCAGCCAAATTCTGCATCATGAAGACTACTTATGAAGGGCCATGTTCATTCTTGTAATAATTATTAAAATTTTAAATTAAACAATTCATATCTTTAAATATACTTATTGTTTTCATGGCAAGTCGAGATAAGATACGAAGGGTGTTGTTATTCGGGTTGCCCCTTCATCTCTAGTGCCATAAGTTGTTCGAAGCCATAGGAGACCTCTGCGGTGGGTTCAGAGGTGTGGAGGCAGATGATTTGGCGTGTGGCGAGAGAGTTCTTATCTATGTCGCCGCCGAAGCTGTGGTGCCGGAGTATGTCTTCGTAGAAGACTAGCGAGTGGCCTTTAAGGTCAATTTGATAGAGGAAACCTCACCTTGCATCCTTCCGAAGTCCTATTATGGTGCTGGTGAGGTTCCCCACCTAACGTCTGATGGAGAGTTTAACGGTGGACGTCGCTGACAGTTGCAGTTTTATCTAGGTTCCCAAGGAAAGAGACGTGTGTCCATCAACACGCCGGCCGCGAGTGGGGAAAGTAGACACACGAGACGTACGCATAATGCCCATCATCAGCGCCATTCAAATCCTTGTTTTGATCGCCTTGACAGTAACCAACCATGTGGACGGCTACGTGGCATCACATGAGCCTTTCAAGAAGTGGCTTCAGATGGGCTTAAGTATGGCCATTCTTCTGGCCTGCTAAACCGATGAATAGTGGGCTGTTAGTCAGTCATAGGCCACAAGTTACAAAGGATACTAAGAGGAATGTTATGTGGGGTCCAGCAACCACTTATCTATTTCCTTCCTAAATGACAAGCCCAGCCGTGACAATGATAAGTTGCGAAATGGGCCACCCGAAGATTTAAAAAGAAAGGTTTCTTGGGGACCCAAAAACCAGATCTTTGTTTCTTTCTTAATACAAAGCCCAGTCCATCTTCTAAACCCAGCATCAATCATTCACAGAGTCGTCTTCTTCATGCTATTTCTGCAAATTTCTGGACTTCGCCAGAGAAGAGGAGATAGATGAAATTCAGTGCCGACGAGGCTGGTGTGGGCATAGACAAGGAGGTTTTCCGTCATTTACAGTGTTGTGCAAATGTTTTAAACATGTCCCTACCAGTCACTGCTCGGACAAAGGGAAGAAGTTCTAGATTTTCATCTCAGGACTCTCACAGACATAACCATGTTTATAGATGGTCGAGAAAAGATAAACAGAAATGGACCTCTACTAATGACCCAGGTATGTCCTCTGTTATTCACTCCCAGAGATATCTTTCTGCCCCTTCTTCCTCTTCTTCTCCTTCTTGTGGGGCGGTGAGAGGCGATGATAAGACGGCAATGGAGAAGAGAAGTGTGCTGTCAATTGTGCCTTCGGCACCTGAAGTTGAGCGTGGTCTGATTACGGAAAGGAAGGTTGCCAGCGGGTCTGTTACTTCCGGGCAAGTTTTTTTTTTTTTTTTTTTGATAAGTAAGATTTTATTAAAGACGCTCAAAAAGGGGAGCGAAGCCCAAAGAAACAAAAGGAACACAAGGTTCAGGACTCATCAGAGGGAGGTATGGTCTGTGTGTGGAGAGACCTCCACTTTCAGCTGTCTAATGAGTCAACTATGGCTCTGCTCAAAGAACTCCGCCTATATGTAGCCTTGAAAGGCTTTAATTGCTTGCCATCTGTAGGGGATGAGGAGAATGAATTGGTCAGATTCGTGAGTAGTGGAATGGGAGACTATACTACAGATTCGTTGACAGAGCCATTTGAATCAGGAAGAGATAGTGAAGAGGGGGTGATTACCAGGTAGAGATAGTGAAGAGGGGGTGACTACTGATCTGGTTTCCATCCAATAGGTTAGTTCCAATGAGTTTGTCCCTTGGCTGGAGAATGACTATTCTGACATGATAGAAGAGGAACCATTGGCTGTCGTGCGACCTGGTTGTTCTGGAACGGATGTAAATTTGGGAAAGGATTGGGTGGTCGAAAACGCAGGAGCAACTAGTGAGTTGTTGGGTGTTTCCTCGGAGGGGAACAGTGACCTGACACTATCCATTCTTCAAGTAATAGTGAAAGGAAGAGAGGTTGCAGTGACTGAAGAGGTTGTGAACACGAGGCCTTTATTGTCCTTGGAAAGGGGCACAGGAGGCCAAGAATCTTATCTCTGACGTCAATTATGAAGGGAAGAAAGGGGTGGTGAGGGAGAGGGGAAGGACTAGGAGCAGGAGTTTGAGGAAGGGAGGAGGAAAGATTATCTTATCTGGTTTTTTATGAAGCTACGAATTATTACTTGGAATGTTCGTGGTCTCAACGACCCGAATAAAAGAAGGGTGGTAAAGGTAGCTTTAAGGAAGTGGGGGGCCAAGTTGTTTGTTTGCAAGAAACCAAGTTAGCATCCATTCCTGATGAGGTGGTAAGGAGTTTGTGGGGAGGAAGGTTTGTGGAATGGGAGGCCTTGAATGCTACAAGTACTTCGGGCGGAATTTTAGTTATGTGGGATTGTAGATGGTTGTCTAGGATGGATGTGTGGGTGGGGAGATTCTCGGTGTCCTGCAAGTTCAAGTTGGAAGAGGACAATTTCAGATGGGTCTTTACTAAGGTGTATGGACCGGTTGTTGATAATGACCAACCTTTTTCTGGGAGGAGCTTTGCTATGCACAAGAACTGTGGTCTCTTCCTTGGTGTTTGGGTGGGGATTTCAATTCTATTAGATTCCCATTAGAGAGGTCCATAGGAGGGAGGAGGTCTTCTGATATGGATCAGTTTTCTGACTTTATTGACGAGCATCTTCTCATTGATCTACCAATGGAAGGTGCAGCCTATTCATGGTCAAATGGCAAAGACCCGTCACTTTTTCAAGGCTGGATCGATTCTTGATTTCTGGGGAATGGGAAGAGAAATTCTCGGATGTCGTTCAAGTAGTTTTAGCAAAGGTCACATCTGATTATGTTCCTTTGGTCTTGGATTATGGGGGTTTGTTTTCTCGAAGGTCCCCGTTTCGATTTGAGAATATGTAGCTGAGAGCGGAGAACTTCCAAGGGAAAGTTCAATCTTGGTGGGAGGGAGCTTTTGTTACAGACTCACCTAGCTTCATGTTAACTACAAAGTTAAGGACTCTCAAATTCAATCTTAAGAAGTGGAATAAGGATGTTTTCGGGAATCTTGAATGGAGGAAGAATAGAGTCCTTGTTGATTTTTATGAGATTGATCGTCTTGAAGAGGCGGGTGGGGATGTGGAGTTATTATGTTCTAAAAGAGCTTCTTGTCAGGCAATTCTTGCTGAGATAGCTACTATGGAGGAGATATCGTGGCGACAAAAATCCCGGGCTCTTTGGTTAAAGGAGGGAGACCGTAATACAAAATTTTTTCACAGACTCGCTAATGCTCATAGAGGGAGTAATCATATAGGACGTATTCGGGTGGAAGGTGTAGAGTTGTGGAGGGAGGAAGAGGTGCGAATAGGGATTGCTTCTTTTTATCATAAGCTTTATACCAAGCCACTAGCTTAGAGACCTAAACTTGATGGTCTCCATTTTGAGGCTATTTCTGAGATGGATAGAGAGGGGCTTGAGATTCCTTTTAATGAAGACGAAGTTCTAAAGGCTTTATCAAGTTGTAACAGGGACAAAGCTCCAGGGCCTGATAGGTTTTCTATGCGGTTTCTAATGGAAAGTTGGGCAGTTGTGAGAAACGAGGTGATGGGTACATTTCAGGAGTTTCATTCTACTGGCGCCTTTGAGAAGTCGCTAAATGCCTCATTCATTGCCCTTATCCCTAAAAAGGGAGGTGCTTCTGACATTAAAGACTTCAGACCTATCAGCTTAGTGGGTTGTATCTACTGGCTAAGGTGCTTGCTTTTAGGATATAAGGGAAGTAATGGATGGGATTATCTCGGATTCCCAGAATGCTTTTGTCGAAGGATAGCAAATTCTTGATTCAGTTCTTTTCGCAAGCGAATATGTGGATTTTAGATTGAGAAGTGGTGTTCCCGGAGTCTTGTGCAAACTTGACATTGAGAAAGCGTATGATCATGTGAATTGGAATGTCCTGGTATATTTGCTACAGCGAATAGGGTTTGGAAGTAAATGGAGGAAATGGATTGAGACAAGTCTTTCACCTATTAAGTTCTCTATTCTTGTGAACGGGTCTCCTACTGGTTTCTTTGGGTGCACTCGGGGTTTAAGATAAGGAGATGCCTTGTCGTCTTTCCTTTTTCTTATTGTTATAGAAGGCTTAAGCAGACTTATACGAAGGGTAGAGGATCTTGGTCTTATTAAAGGCTTTATGGTGGGAAGAGATCTAGTCCATCAGATAGAGATCTCTCATTTACTTTTTGTGGACGACACCCTGGTTTTTTGTGATGCTGATGTGTCTCAACTTAGATATTTGAGGTGCATCTTGGCTTGTTTTCAGGCTGTTTCTAGTCTGAAGGTCAATATGGCTAAAAGCGTGCTTGTTCCGGTAGGGGATGTTCAGGATATTTCCTCTTTAGCTGCAATCCTTGGGTGTAGGGTGAGTTCTTTTTCCCATTCCGTATTT